ATTGTTACTTAACACTTCCATTGTTGATGGAAGTGTTAAGCCTTAATCCTGTCCCTCTCCCCCGTGGGGAGGAATTTCGAAAAATCCCTTCTTAGTGTGCGTTCTCCTAACGTACCCTAACTGTGTACCAAATTTCAATTTTCAACTCCTAACCGTTTGGGCTCATATCCATAATGTATATAGAAGTTTTAATCCTGTCTCTCTCCCCGGGGGGGATTTCGAAAAATCCCTTCTTAGTGTGCGTTTTCATGACGTACCCTATCTGTGTACCAAATTTCAACTTTCAACTCCTAACCGTTTGGGCTCTGCGCTTATTATTATTATTATTACTATTATTATTATCATCATCATCAACCCGTCTCGATTATATATTAGATTACATTTTATTATTGATAATATGAAAAATGTTTTTTTTCTCATTCTGTCATCAATAAATTTATTAAGAATACATTAAAAAAAATTATGTTATTTGGAATATTTGCAAATATATTGTCAAAATTTTAAAAAATTGCATAAAAGTTTCAAACTATAGTAAATATACATAAAAAAGTCTATGCATTTTAAGTACTAGAATATGCCAATATAAGGCAGCTTCTATTAATTTTTAATTTTTATATTTACTTCTAAATCATTTTACGTTCTATTTTTAATGTTTTTTTTCTGTAACTGATGAAGATCATTAAAATGATTGAAAATGTTTTTACTATATTACATTTTTGCTGGATTAAGGTGTAGTTTTTTAATTTATGCTAAGTAAGAAGTACTAGCATGACTATAATTCAAACTAGGACAGTTTTTAAGAGTGAGTGAAAAATGGGTTAGATTTTTTAAAAATTATTTATATATTGAACTATAAATTGATTATATTTCATAAAATAATCTATAAAATGGCTATTTAAAATTTTATCCTATTTTTGAGTTTAAAAACAAGAAATCAAAGACTATCCTGAACAAATTGGAACGTATGGGAACCTACTAAAACTCTATTTATGAATGAATTTGAATACAAAATTTTTCATTTACTTCTGAATTGTTTATATATTTTTGCAATCATTTTGAATACATTAAATTACTGATAAAAATAAATTTTTATCAGTAATGGCTCAAAATTGAAAATATTAGCAATTTTTAGTATTTTTCATTTATTTCTTACTTTTTACCATATATGTCATGTTTAAAAGCTTGTTCTACAGTCCATTTGATATTTTGAAATAGAATTAAAGCTAAAATTTTTTTCATCTTTTACACATTTGCAATTGACACTGTCTAATTTCCATTAATAGTTTCTATTAGGGTTTCTCAAACGGGATTCCGGGATCCCGGTTGTTTTTTTAACCCGGGAAATCCCGCAAATTTCTTAAAAATTCACTTTTTTTCTTATTTTGTGTTAAGGTTGAGGAATTTTGCAAATAGAAAGCATAATTAACTCATTCACTGTCAGAATACATTTGTATTTATTAATTTTAAACCTACCTATTAGTTTTTTTTAATTTTTGCTCGTTATAGCATGTCACAAATGGTCAATAATCAATATATAGCTTATTTGTGGCAGGACTATAAAAATTCTTTACTTGTCGGAACCTGTAATATCTGGAATAATTGTGCTTACGCTGTCTTGAGTTTTAACCATGCCCAGTAGCTTCAATAAATGCCTGACGCCAGATTGTGCAAATTGGGCAAGGATACAAACGAGTACAAAGTCTGCAAGTATGAAGTTTTTCTTCATAAACCTGATTATTAAAGCCAAATGAATTGCCGAATTATCGAGCTCTAAGCTTGATGCCGCTATTAAAGCAGCCAAGGTAGACAAATCAAGAATACTAGAGAGCGAAAGAAGTACTACAATCTCGAAAACGAACTCGAAATCTTCCAGGCTACAGGTGAAAAAACACATAATATCTGTCTTCTCTTAAATGCATTAAACACTATTCCAATCACATCAATTGAATCGGAAAGGGCATTCTCGGTGGCAAGACTTTTCATTACTAAAATAAGAATTAGAGTGAGTTATCGGAGTATTGACCATCTTTGCTTTTTAAAATCTTATAAAAGTTTGCAATATTTTGTATTATATTTTATTTAAAAAACGAAAATTACCTTCTAAATTAGAAGTTCATTTTTTTAATTTTTAACTCAATTCAAAACATTTTTTTTGTTGTTGTTGTATGCAGTTTCCAGCAAACTTTAATTAATTTTTTTCTATTTGTGAAAATTTCTACGTTATTTAAAGGTAATTTTTATTATAGGCCTATAGACCTTACACAGCATTATTAATATGATTTTGGAGGTTACAGAACTTTAAAATTACTTTAAAAAATGGAAAATAATTATATCATTTGATTTCAAGATATTTTGTATACCTTAAAAATAATTAATTCTATCCCAGGATCCCGGGAAACAGTTCACTTTTATCCCGGGTTCCCGGGACAAGCAAAAGACTGGGAAATGAGAAACCCTAGTTTCTATCCCTTTTGATATAAGAGAAGGTTAAAAATAATCATTTATCACAGTTTTGACTTCTGAATATTGATGCAGAAAGGAGTACAGTCGACCCCCCTATAACACTGTCGATAATTCCGTTTTATAAGAATTCCATGTTTACGAGTCACTTAGATTTTACAAATACATGAGTTGTTCACAGCCCAGCACACATATTTGTAAAATCTAAGTGACTCGTACAACATGGAATTCACATAAAACGAAATTATCAACAGTGTAACAGGGGAGTCGACTGTAATGCAATTAACACGGATCTTATTACAGTCAGTTTGGGAGAGATCTGTCAGAAATCTGATATACAAAGTGCTGTATTTTTTCAAAAGTAATATTTTATACATAAAAATTATTTATAAATACACTTTTATCAGAAATATAAGAATTTCATTCCCAGAGTCTCAGGTTACATAGTTTCAACTAGTGGTGAACCTTAGAAATTTTTCTACCCAAGATTATACAGATAACACAGCTTCTCAATCTATATTCCACAAATCCCATGGAGTCTGCAAATGTGTTAGTAGGAATCCTTGAGTTTCCACAGGAAAAAGTAATACTTTTCTTATATTGTTAAATAAAATAAAAACAATAAAATGCTTCTTGTAATATTTACCTTCATTAAAAATGCCTACTAAAGTTTAAATTAAAAAATATAAAATTTTTAAATTAAAAACTTTTAAACAAAAACACTTAGAATATATAAAAATAATAATCATTTAATTTATTCAAGGCTGTTTGTCAGAAATTTTTTCAAAAATGTGTGTTAAGTTCTTTCTTATAATTTAAACAAACAGTCTGTTGATTTTAAGCATATTAAAACCATTACATTATATAAAAATGATTGAAATGTGTAAGCATGATTTACCCACAGTTACCTTTGAGAAAACAAGCAAAAACAAGAATTTTCATAAAATAGAAATACCTTTCAGAAATTAAATAATTATTTCAAATAACCAATTGGTGGATCAAACTATACAAGGCTTATCAAATTGTAATGAAGCCAAGAAAATCAAAATCATGTCAAAAAAAAAATTAATTTTATTTGTGGAATGCATTTTGGTCTCTACTAGACCCTCTTCAGCCACAATTACATAAATACAGATATCTGCTATATTTAACTTAAAAGTTAAAGGTTACATGGGTATACTGCTAACTGTTCATACAACCATCTGGTTACAATTCCTTCTATAAATCTATAGA